AACCTAAAAAAATGTATCATTCACAACTTTATTAAATCCCTATAAGGATGATACAAAAACACAAAAAAACAGTGCCAGAAAAATGCGATAAAGTGAAAAAATAGAAAATAAATACAATTGGACAAGCAGATGGATCCTATATAGATAGTCAGAATGATCTTCCAGCTTGGAAATAGACTAGAAAGCAGGTGAACTTAACATGATACTATGTTGCAAAAATGCATACAAATTGAAAGCACCCAGCTAATTCTTATGAGCTGCTGGGGGCTAAGAAAGTCTCATATAGTAGTGAATATATAACAATAAATGTAGATACAGAATAGCAGACTGATCCTAAGGCAGTGCGATGGAATATAGGCAGCATTGTAGAATAAAGAAGGCTCTGTATGGCGTTAACCAGTGACTCTGTCTTATTAATCAGTTTAGCTAATCATTAAACAATAGAAAGAAAAGGAAATTGGAATATATGGGGTAATCCAAAGCAGTAAACCCCAGGCTGAGAAACTATAACAGCCGGGAAACCAACAATTGAATATGAAATTGCCCCTAGTATAATATCCCTTATGGTCAAGTGCCAATATAATAATATATAGATGATAGACAAGTATGCAGACCTAAATTGGGCCGCTCATAAGTAAAGGAACAAGTAGTCCCATATAGGATACACCCTAAAGATACAGAGACTAGCCAGTAGTATAGAAAAGATAGCTAAAAAAATCTGTAAATAACTGCTTCAAGGTGACCCCTCATAAACTAGATATAGCCAGTGGGAAATAAGCTAAACACTGCTGCGTCAAGACAGCCTATCATTTACCTAAATTAGCCAATACTTACTCATCTACTACTGCCTAAAAATAAAAACTGCCTATTTGCCCCGGGAGATCGTTAAGATTTATAGAAAGAGCAAGTTGCTAAGGCATGCAAAAGCTATCAAAGTATTGAAAATGACCAGTGGAGCGTCTGCTCGATGTGCGTTTCGGTGCTTATATGCGCCTTTGTCAAGAGCTAAGATCAGATTGAAATCTTGCCTCCTTTTAAAGGGAAAATGGAGCCACCCCCCTTTTTTTGTGATGTCAGTGACAACTGTATATCCAATTAAGCAGAGAAAGAGGAGGAGGGTCATTAGAACCTACAAGTTAACTCCTCCAATGCCAGAAAGCATGTAAAGAATTCAATTCAGTCAATCTTAAAGTACATATCCCTAACAGAGAGAGGAAAGATATTAAGAAAGTCTTTCAAATTTGGATGTCAGGTGTAAGCATCAGATGAAATATAGAAGTGTTAGACATAAAAATAAGATATTAGGGCGTGGCCTGAGCGTTGATGTGAGAGGACGCACGGCTCCGGGCAACATAGCAAATATAGCAAGTAACAGAGCGATATTTTACCGCACAATCAGCCGTGAACACTATCATACACCCCCCCACATCGAGATGGCTTCTACGTCCATGAAAAAAATCAAAGCCGAAAGCACTGAGCCTGAGAATATCTTCCATTGTGGTTTCCGCGAGTAAGATCCAAGATGGTGCCCTGATTCCCCTGCAGCAAGCTCTGAAGTAAGTGATATCACTTCATTATCTGTGTTGCAGGCTACCCCGTTCACGGAGCAAGCCATCAGACGCATGCTAGGAGAGCTACAATCTTCACTGAAGGCTGACATAGACCAAAGTGCCAGAGACATAAGGGCTGACATAAAAGAAATTGGGGAGCGTACCTCACACCTGGAGGATAAAACGGAAGAACTGATTGGAGCCCATCACACTCTGACAGATGCTTATTCTGACATGGAGAAAAAACTAAGGGCACTGGAACAAAATGTGGCAGACAATGAAGACTGGGACAGAAGGAATAATATCTGGATAAGGGGCATCCCAGAAGATGTCAACACCTCTAAGCTAGATTCTTAAGTCCGCATGCTCTTCCAGACCTTGCTTAAAGACACTCCAGTGGGAGAATTCATACTCAATCGCACTCACCGTCTCCCCAAGCCCGAGCACCTACCTTCTTCCATTCCCAGAGGTGTGATCACCAAGGTACATTATTACATTACCAAAGATAATGTTATGAAAGCTGCCAGACCCCAAGGCTCCCTCACAAGGCGCTATGCTGAAATCAAGCTGTTTACTGACCTATCCTCGTACACAATGCTACAGCACAAGGCCTTTGCTCTGATTACTTCAGCTCTGAGGCAACAGGCAATAAGTGGGGCTTCCCAGTAAAAATCACCTTGGAGGGATCAGCAGGATGGGCAGGTACGTGATGTGGGATGTGCGCCACTCCAAGGAAAAGTTGAATGACGTTCCTTAAATTCAACTTTTCCTTGGAGTGGGTCACATCCCACATCACTTACCTGGGAATTAATCTCACTAGAACCACATTGACTCTCTTTAAGCACAACTACACCCCGCTCCTACAAAGGTGCAAATCTGAATTCAGCAAATGGAAAGTGGTGCCTCTGTCGTGGGCAGGGAGGATTAACACAACCAAAATGATGATATTACCGCGCATCCTATACATTTTCAGAATGCTCCCTGTCTCCATTCCTCCTTTCTATTGCAAGCTGCTACAAAACATACTCACACAGGAGGGCACCATGCTACATATATGGTGGTCATGCGCAAAGATTAGACCACTGTGGCTAGAGGCAGAAAAGTTTATCGAGGCAATGGAAATCCCGCCTGTACTCCCAGTAACTATCTTCTCTTTATGCCCACGGACAGAGGTTCATTCTACCAAAGGGCATTACGCAAATTTGTCTCACTGGCTGTCCGTCATCTTGTAGTCCTAGATTGGAAGAGCACCTGCTCACCATCCATACAAAAATTGAGAGACTGGGTGGACTTATACCACAGCATGGAGCTTATGGGGACACAAAACATTAGACAGAGGCACGTGCTAGACAAGATATGGTCACTGTGACGGACCGTCTGGCACTCTGACCGAGTGCCTCTGCCAATCGATGCTCCTAGTGCTCACCGACGAATTCCAGCATTCCACCAGACACCATAAGCACTGCAGACCCCACTTCCAGCGATGCAGCTGCGCAGGAGGCTTGCTGTCCTTCACCCACCCTGGACCCAAGACACGGATCCTGCTTCCAGTGGGCGGACCTCTCCTACTCCTAGAGAGCATAGCAGGAACAGCACTTATAAGAGCTAGTGAATAAAATTCCTGTTGAGTATAGTGATATAGCAATCCCCAGGATAGATACAGCCTTTTCCCCCACACATGAGATGAGACTCTATGTTGAGGGTAAGCAGGAACAGATTTTAATGGAGCCACAGCTGGCCTTTTATGCAAGTCCCCATGCACGGGGAACACCCATCTGGACCTGATGGGGCACAGGGTGACAATGTTACAGACCAATAACAGTATAGTTACAACATGTGACACTCCCACACACAAACAATAGAATCCCTCCTCTGTGATTGGGAGATAATTGAATCAGGAACTGTACTAATCTAACCCAATTATTTCCAAGCACAGAAAAACATACAATTTTATGAAACCCCAAAAAGTACCTTAAAAACACATAAAACCCCATGATAGCCCCGATATGGGTAAACAACATATCCAAAAATCACCCAGACTGGTTCAGGAATTTCCTGGAAGTCATAGTTTTGACAGACCGTGTACATGGTCCTATGCCCAAAACAGTTCCAGGGAAATCAGTGCTAACTGTCGGTTAAGTTCGGTATACATACAATATGGGGTGGAGTATCTTCTTGTTTAAAGCAAATATTGATATTGCCTAGAAATAGAACAGATAAAGACACATAATAGTGCAATATTGTCTAAATCTCAAATAGAATGAAAAGGAAGTATGTGAAAATGCACTCACAAAACAAGAGCCTTTGGTGGTAGCGGTGGGATCGTTCCTACAGCCAGAAGAACAGCTACAAGGTGACACCATTTCTTTGGATTTTACAAATTGAGGGCAACGCTTGTCTGAGTACAGCGACCCTGACAGCACCAAGATGGAAACAGCAGTGTCTTACGAGGAAGGTGACATGGACGATAGAGATGCAGTCTGAAAAGGCATTTGGTACCAGGCACTGGGTATTGCGGAGTACCAGCGGGGCAAGAGACTCCTCAAAGAAGACCAGCGATTGCAGAAGCGACTAGCCCTGTGGATGCCCTTCCTGGGAGAGCAGCCACTGGAGGAATGGGTGAAGGAATTGGAGCTCTGGGTATGGCAGGAGATGTGGCTGGAAGATGCCTACCAGGCGCTCTGGTGGCATGGGGCACAGTACCTGCCCTGGACAGCCAAGCATGACAAGCCAGAGGGAGAGGAGTTTGATGGCCCTGGCTTGTTATGGGAGACTTTTTCAGAGCCTGAGTTTGGGAGCCCTACACAAGCCCAGTTCCGTGATCTCTTTGAGTGGAGGGAGAGCAGGTCTGACTGGGATGACACTCACGAGATTGAGCAAGACCTGGTCCACCTGGTGACCCGGGAGATCGAGCTGGAACAGGACTACCAGCAGCTGTTCCACTCCAGTGAGAAGGCTCAGCAGGAGAGCAGAGTGACAGATCCAGAGCCAGACCCATTCATCTGGGATGAGATAGTAGAGTTTTACTGGGAAGAACCCCAGGTTGCTGGTGGAGATGGGACCGAGGTCTCTCCATCGGTCCTCCAGGGAATTGGGAGCCCAGTCTCCATTCCCCAGCGGCAGGCTGAGTTACAGGGGGCAGAGTAAGTTGGTCCTGTCCCCCAGCGGCAGAGTGTCCTACTGGGAATAGAGAGCCCAGTCTCCTTTCCCCAGCAACAGGACACTATATTGGGAGCTGAGACAGTCGGTCTCCCTCCCCAGAGGCTGGAAGTATGTATGGGAGAGGAGCTGGCAGTGGCAGGGTGAGCTACAAAGATGCTGGGCGGTCGGCTCAGATCCCCAGCGGCAGTGTGATTTGCAGGGAATAGACAGCAGTGTCTCCTTTCCCCAGCGGCAGTGTGTAATGCAGGGAGTGGAGAGCAGTGTCTCCCCTCCCCAGCGGCTGAAAGTGTGTAAGGGAGAGGAGCTTGTTACCCCCTCTCCCCAGTGGCAGCTTAGCCCACCAAGGGGAGACACTAAGTTCCCCACCGGCGCAGATGGGACCATGGTCTCTGCGCCCAAGCTACAGGGAGTACGGACAGTCGGCCCTGCTCCCCAGCAGCAGAGTCTTCTACTGGGAGGGGAGAACCTCGTCCCCCCTCCCCAGCGGCAGTCTAGCCCACCAAGGGGAGATGATAAGCCCCACACCGGTGCAGATGGGACCGTAGTCTCTGTGCCCAAACCACAGGGTGTAGGGACGGTCGGTCCTGTCCCCCAGCAACAGGGCTGTTTAGCCAAAGGGGAGACAGTCGGTCTCCCCCCACAGCAGCATGGTGCTTTGTTCAAAGGGGAGACGATCAGTCTCCCCCTCCAGCAGCACAGCTATGTATCCAAAGGGGAGACAGTCGGTCTCCCCCTCCAGCAACCAGACTCCCACCAGGCTACTTCCGTGGTACTGCTGGCATCAGGGCAGAGTACAGCCCACCTCGCAACCCACCAATTCAGCATACCAGTCCCCCATACAGCTGTGGTGGGGCACCTTGACATGTAGTAACCATTTATTGTGGGTGGGCTGTACTACTAATTGTGTTTTATGGATGGGTTGCTGGAGTAACCAGGGCACTGACCGGCAGGAGGTCAGATACCCTTTTAGTCTGTTTGGGAAAGGGGAGAGATGTGACGAGACCAATCTCGCCACTGTGCATTGGAGGAGCCTGGTTGCCCGCCTGCTGCCTTTAGACTATAGCCCCATGTTGAAACGCTTGATTTTCCCCTGCAAAGACACGAAAGCCGGGTCATTCGGTGCTTGCCCTGTTTGAGCGGTGATACCCCAGATAGCTATGTCATGGAGCCCATTCGTATAATGAAAGACTGTGGGAAAGACTTTGGCTCTATGGCAATTGAACTGTATGTGTGTGATCTGAGCGCCATTCAGTAATAATGTGCGCTCAGATCTGAGCTATCTGGGGATATGTTGAATGTACCTGTTTTATGCAATGGCTGCACAGTTATATATTCTTATGTATTTTATTGTATTTTGCTGCTATGTGTTCAATGGAGTTGTGCCTCTGTCCTTGGAGATAATTGGATTACTTCCCAATTAGCTCCAGGATAGAAGACTCTGTGGAACTGGTTTTGGGCAGAAAAGCCATGCTTCATTTGGTCACAAAGGACTACAATCTATCTTTTGAACCACTGGACCAATTTGTATGATTTTGACGTATGTTTGTATTTGGAGTATGCTGATTCTGAAAATGTACGTTTATGTGAATGTGATTCATACTTTTAAAATTAATAATGTGAACATATGAATAATGTGGAAAAACTGTATTTCTCTGCCTGTGATAATTACATTACCTATTGTCTAAGGTAATTGTATCACAGGCAGAGGGGAGGATTTTGTGTGGCAGTGTCTGAGTGTATTGTACGTCTTTATTGGTTGTTTTCCAAAACCCTGTGGGTGGTACTAATGTGTAAGAATGTGTATATAGAACAATAAACCCACAGCTCTGTCTGTTCCTGCTTGACCCTCAAAACAGAGCCTTGTCTTGTTCTTGGGGGGATTTATAGTATGCTGTTCCAGTTCGACTGCTAGGAGTGTAAACCTATTCGTATGGTTTTTCCTATTCGGCTGTTTATGGCATTCATATGGTTCCGGTTCTGCTGTTTACGGCATTCATATGGTTTCCTGTTCAGCAGATTGGTGTTTTTGGTAGCTGCCTGTGTATCTGGTAGGGGAATATCCTCTAAACGGCATTTAACCCCTTTTATGCCTGGGGTGCCGTTACAACTAGTGAGTGAAGGAGGGGGTAACAAGTGACAGAGTGAGGGAGGGGGTGACTAGTGACAGAATGAGGACTCGAGGGGGTGACTAGTGACAGAATGAGGGACGGGGTGACTAGTGGCAGAGTGAGGGAGGGGGTAACTAGTGGCAGAGTGAGGGATGGGATGACTAGTGGTAGAGTGAGGGAGGGGATGACTGGTTACAGAGTGAGGGATGGAAGGGGTGACTAGTGGCAGAGTGAAGGAGGGTTGACTAGTGACAGTGAGGAAGGGGGTGACTGGTGACAGAGTGAGGGAGGTAGGGTGTGACTGGTGACAAAGTGAGGGAGGAGAGGTGACTAGTGACAGAACAAGGGAGGGATGACTATTTGCAGAGTGAGAGGATGTGACTGGTGACAGAGGATAAATTTGACTAGTGACAGAGGAGGGAGAGACGTTTAGCAGCAAGGCAAAACAAGGCATTACCTGCAGGCGGCATTTCCGGAAGCGGCAAATGCGAACAAATGCGGCTAACGGCAGGTGGGTGGGTAGCTCCTGGCGAGGAGCACTGGGCAGTAAACAGATCACTCCAGCTCCGCCATTGCATGCAAGTGATACTGAGGAGCGAATAGCAGCGTCATATTCCAGCAACGAAAGGCTGAGCAAACGCTTCAGTGCCACGCGCGCCGATAAGCCATCAGCCTGGGCCCACTGGAAGAGGAGCCTGCCAGCATTCCCAGGTGGAGGCTGGGGTGGTTAAGTCGCAAAGGCCTGGGGAGCGGCACAAAACCAGGATACACCACTGGATGGAAGTGACTGAAGTGACAGGAATAAAGGGAGAGTGACTGGTATGGCAGAAGTGAGGAGGTGACTAGTAGCAGGAGAGGATGACTATTGACAGAGTGAGGAGGTGACTGACAGAAGTGAGGAAGAGGGTGATTAGTAGCGGTAGGGAGGGAGGAAAGGAGGTGGAAGGTAACATTGACAGAGTGAGGAGGAAGGGTGACTACAGACGGTAAGGAAAGAAATTGACTAGTGACAGAGAGGAGAGTGACTAGTGACAGAGTGGAAGGGAAGGAAAGCGTGACTACGACAGAATGAGGAGGAGTGACAAATGACAATGGTGGATGGAGGGTGACTAGTGACAGAATGAGGGAGAGGATGACTGGTAGCAGAGGAGGAGAGTGACTAGTGGCAAGTGAGGGAGAATTGACGAAATGACAAAGAGTGAGAGGGTGACTAGTGAGGGTGACATGACGGTGGGGAGGGTGTGACTGGTGACAGAATGAGGGATAGGGTGACTAGTGACAGAGGGAGGGGGTGACTAGTGACAATGATGAATGAAGGGGGTGACTAGTGACAGAATGAGGGAGGGGATGACTAGTGGCAGAGTGAGGGAGGGGGGGTAACTAGTGACAGAGTGAGAGAGGGAGGG